GGGGGGGAGGGGGCCGGCCCCCCGCCCTGGCTTGCAGGAGCCGCTTGGGCGAGCAGAGGAGGGATGAAGGCAAGAGCCGCTGCCCCCTCTCAGCACAGGGATGGGAGAATGGCCGGGGGGAAAAGCCCCACCACACCACATTCCCCTGGGAGCAGACAGCTCACGTGAATGGGAAGAAACAGCAGGAAGAACGTGCGCGGCAGCCTGCGGAAGGCCGCGGGACCCGAGGGGATTTACCTGCCCTTGGCCCCAGGCTGAAGCCACCGGCAATCTGCAGGCTGCCAGGAGGCCTTCACTGCCCTCGGGGGAAGCCACTCGGGGAGGGACAGTCTGTGCCACGGCTCCGTCCAGAGGAGGAAGAGACAACCCAGTTAGCGTTTCAGGACTTTACTACGGTCCACAGTACGAGCAGAAAGGGATTTTTAAATATGTTACAAACGACAGCGTATTTCAGGGAAGTGCAAGATTTGCAAACAGTGGAGTAGTGTGGCTTCAATTCGGGGCCGACACAATGCAGCCGCGGAGCCCAGGTGCCCCCCCGAGAGCCTGTGACATTGCTCGCAGCATGCTCACACCGAGTGGGAAGATGCCGAGGTGACAAGTCCAAGCTGTGCCGTGGCCTCTCCTCAGCGATCCACAGCCAGCAGGGTCCCCGGGGTTCCCCATGCTCCCAGCTCTGCCATCACTCGACCACAGGTTTCGCTTCCTTGGCCGCTTCCAGCCGTGCCAGTATTTCATTCCACTGGACAAACTGCTTGGAGAGAAGCAGGGTCTGGACGTGACTGTTAAGGAAAGAGATGCAGAAACTCCAGGGAAGAAAGCAAGGTCAGAGCGCCCCGACAGCCCCACAGCACCGTCACCATCCCCATTCCTCAGGAGAGGAAGAGGCCTGGGGCAGCAGGCTGTAGAAAGCCTGTGTGGACTCAAACCATCTAGGCGCTGAGCCACTGCACAGCACCAAACACCGATGGGAGTCCAGGAGGCACTTCTGAACACTGCACAGCACTGCATTTCAAGGGGCTTTCTACAGAAAAGAGCAGAGCTTCCCTACCTGCTGTGGTTTTAGGATCTGTCTCAACACTGGGATCCTACGTGGCCAGGATTAGCCGTTGTTTGGCTCAGGCAGGTCACAGGGACCAGAAGCCACCTGATAGAGATGCCAACATCTTGCCGGCCAGCGCAAGCCCTGCACCAGCACGCAGGCTGTGCTGCTCCTTCGTGCCAAGCCGCGCCCTGAGTGGATCTGGCATGGACGCTCTGGCTCGCAGGTGGCACCCTGCCCTTCCCATCTCAGAGAGACGGGTAGTTCTGGCCCTCGGCTCTGCCCCTGAGAGGAGTGTGACAGGGACACAGACGTCACCATGACAGAAAGGGCACTGGTCATTAAACCCAGGGCTGGGGGTTGCCTGCTTCCAACAACATCTGGTGGGGCGAGGCAGCCCAGGAGACAGGCGGGCAGTTCAGCTGTGTCAGGCCCAAGGCTCAAAGGATACTATTTTGTTGTAGTCTTCGAGGAGCATCTTGACACCGTCAGCGAGATTTTGACGCTGGTCCTGCGAAGAGGGGAGCCGCAGAAAGTCAGCAATACATCAGCTGAAGGACATCGGTCCCAGTCCCTGACAGCACAGGGGGAAACTCATCCAAGGCCAGCACTGACATTAGAGCTCAGACCCTGGCTGTGGCCGCTCATTGCAGCTGTGCTTCATCAGTCAAGAGAAAGGTTACAAACACCCAAGCTCATGAAGCACCGAAGCCCCTGGGCTTGCACTACTGCCTGCCTCTCCTCAGCATCCATGCCGTGCTTGCTCCAGAACAGAAACTGACAGCAAAATGCTGAAAGGGGGCATTAGGTGCTGCCCAGGCTACTCATCACCAGCTGCAGGAGCACTCAAAGCGGGAAGGAAAGGCTGAAGAGACGAGGTGACAGTATCAGCCTTCCAGAGACTGGGATACTGGAAGAATGCAACGCTTTACTTCAGTGCCCCAGTGAGAGCGGGAATGCCAGCTAGTTAAACCCACCGCTACTTATTATGTGTCGCCCAAACAGCCTTACGGCAGGCAAAGCGCTTTTCTAATTCAGACTCAACTGTCAGAAATCCTGGCTAGTTTCCACCTCCCCACCCCCTCCCCAAGTGCTTACACTTCTTTAAAACTGCAGCATGAATATCCTGGACAAAATGCAAATATAAACCTGCCAAAAATAAGCAATTCGAGCAATTGCAAATACGGGGCTGTCAGTACAGCCACTAACAAATAGTTCCTCCTCCCTGCTAGTCAAGACTACTCACACTACCTGCTGCTGTATGTGGATTTGAGAGAGTCGCTGTAGTTTAGCTGCATGGTCAGGAACCGCTGAAAGCACAGAAGAGAAATCCATTTTGTTTGTTTTATGTCACGTGGGATTAGTCACCAAAATAAAGAACATTCCTTCTCCACGAGCACATCACATCAGAACTCCACTCACCGAATGCAAACGCCACACACCACAAACACACCTTTTATAACATACAAAACCCCTAGCTACCCTGTACATTAAATAGCGAGTGTATTCACTCACTGCTTCTAGATGGCATGAGTTAGGGGATGCCTGCAGTGAGAACTACATCAGAGTAAAACTACTTGGATGAACGTTAGGGCAAGCAATTAAAAAGCCATCTCCACCTACGCCAAGAGCAGGGATGTTCTGACATAAAAGAGCTCGTAGGCAGGAGTGGCTCCACAGCCTGGTGACCGTACACAGCACTCAGCCACCGGTCTCTGCCCTCTCTGCCAAGCTGCTGTCTCTAACCTGCTTCCCAACCTACTCTATCACCTCCTTGACCTTGTGTGGGATGTTAGAGCAGCGTGAGGGAGGAGCAGACATACTCCGTTCGTACCTGCATGGCCGCTCTGGCTCGCAGGTGGCACCCTGCCCTTCCCATCTCAGAGAGACGGGTAGTTCTGGCCCTCGGCTCTGCCCCTGAGAGGAGTGTGACAGGGACACAGACGTCACCATGACAGAAAGGGCACTGGTCATTAAACCCAGGGCTGGGGGTTGCCTGCTTCCAACAACATCTGGTGGGGCGAGGCAGCCCAGGAGACAGGCGGGCAGTTCAGCTGTGTCAGGCCCAAGGCTCAAAGGATACTATTTTGTTGTAGTCTTCGAGGAGCATCTTGACACCGTCAGCGAGATTTTGACGCTGGTCCTGCGAAGAGGGGAGCCGCAGAAAGTCAGCAATACATCAGCTGAAGGACATCGGTCCCAGTCCCTGACAGCACAGGGGGAAACTCATCCAAGGCCAGCACTGACATTAGAGCTCAGACCCTGGCTGTGGCCGCTCATTGCAGCTGTGCTTCATCAGTCAAGAGAAAGGTTACAAACACCCAAGCTCATGAAGCACCGAAGCCCCTGGGCTTGCACTACTGCCTGCCTCTCCTCAGCATCCATGCCGTGCTTGCTCCAGAACAGAAACTGACAGCAAAATGCTGAAAGGGGGCATTAGGTGCTGCCCAGGCTACTCATCACCAGCTGCAGGAGCACTCAAAGCGGGAAGGAAAGGCTGAAGAGACGAGGTGACAGTATCAGCCTTCCAGAGACTGGGATACTGGAAGAATGCAACGCTTTACTTCAGTGCCCCAGTGAGAGCGGGAATGCCAGCTAGTTAAACCCACCGCTACTTATTATGTGTCGCCCAAACAGCCTTACGGCAGGCAAAGCGCTTTTCTAATTCAGACTCAACTGTCAGAAATCCTGGCTAGTTTCCACCTCCCCCCCCCCTCCCCAAGTGCTTACACTTCTTTAAAACTGCAGCATGAATATCCTGGACAAAATGCAAATATAAACCTGCCAAAAATAAGCAATTCGAGCAATTGCAAATACGGGGCTGTCAGTACAGCCACTAACAAATAGTTCCTCCTCCCTGCTAGTCAAGACTACTCACACTACCTGCTGCTGTATGTGGATTTGAGAGAGTCGCTGTAGTTTAGCTGCATGGTCAGGAACCGCTGAAAGCACAGAAGAGAAATCCATTTTGTTTGTTTTATGTCACGTGGGATTAGTCACCAAAATAAAGAACATTCCTTCTCCACGAGCACATCACATCAGAACTCCACTCACCGAATGCAAACGCCACACACCACAAACACACCTTTTATAACATACAAAACCCCTAGCTACCCTGTACATTAAATAGCGAGTGTATTCACTCACTGCTTCTAGATGGCATGAGTTAGGGGATGCCTGCAGTGAGAACTACATCAGAGTAAAACTACTTGGATGAACGTTAGGGCAAGCAATTAAAAAGCCATCTCCACCTACGCCAAGAGCAGGGATGTTCTGACATAAAAGAGCTCGTAGGCAGGAGTGGCTCCACAGCCTGGTGACCGTACACAGCACTCAGCCACCGGTCTCTGCCCTCTCTGCCAAGCTGCTGTCTCTAACCTGCTTCCCAACCTACTCTATCACCTCCTTGACCTTGTGTGGGATGTTAGAGCAGCGTGAGGGAGGAGCAGACATACTCCGTTCGTACCTACTTTACTCACACCAGGTTGTGTGCTTAGCTGTCCTCAATTCTGAGGCTCAAGAAAAAAAACCAACAGAAAACAGGAAACGCAACAGTTTGTGGGGTGGCATTTGCAGCTCAAACTTGCAGAAGAACAAGCATACCTTGGATACTGGCACTGTCCAAGATGGGCTGGAGGTTCTTCACCTGCTCCAGAAGGGCTGCTCGGGAAGGAATAACCTGCTCCTCTGATTTGGGAGGCACAAAAAGCAACATCAGTAAATACAAGACACTGCTTTGGCTTTTCACAAATACTGGTGAGGTAACTTTTCCAGCTGATATAGCTGCACAGAAAGGGGCTCGTTTATGATTTTATTTAGACTTTTGTGTTGCTCACTCCTGGATTCTGGCTCACGCTAACTTAAGGCAGGAAAATCTCCACCAAGTTTCATTCACAGACTATACCAAAACAAGGCTGAACCAAATTCCTTGGGACAAAAGAGGACAAGAGTAGAAAGCGTTTAAAATCCATCCAAAGGTCTTCCATTTTTATCACAGCCTAGAGAGTATTTTGTCACAGCCTAGGGGTGAGGACAACTGTTCTAGCTCCAGTTTTTCTTTTCAACCTTTTATTAATTCAAGGTTACTCTGATCAATACTAAAAAGATCAGAACCGATACAACTGCAGCACGGATGTGCACAAGGGAGCACTAAGGCTGACAGACATCCTTGTACAAACCATCTCTCTGATAGCTCCAAAGAGGGTGTCTTGCCAGATCTTTACAACTAAAGAAAAGAAACCCATCCCAATCCAGCTTAGGTAAAAGACAACTTTTGCAGTGCTAAGAAACCCCCATCTCCTCTCATTTCATACCATACCTGCCAAGATGAACTGCAGCTTTATGGCGTCTGGAACAGCCATCCTATCAATGTACTGAGGGTCGAGGTATTTTATTACATCTTCAACTAGAGTGAAAAATAGGTTTGGAACAAAAATTAGGAGAGACATTGTTGCCTTTACAAGTGCAATTTTCCCCTAAGCTATATATCAAGTTACTTTGTAAACACTGCCCACTTAGGGTGTTTTTTTTTCAGAGTTATGAATTTCTATAGCGCTTGAAAAGATGTGACTTTGGAGCACTGTGACCAACAACTGACAAATGGCTCAAGCCAAATAACTGCTTCGGTACGGACAGCCGCAACACTTGCTTTTTATTTGGATAACAATATTAAAGGTGAGTGAAATCTGCTTCTTCCTGCCCTTGAAACAAAACCAGCCAACAGCCCTCCATCCTGGTCCTTAAAATCACCTACAAACACAGGGTTTACATTTTTATACTGAACAGCCACCGCACCCTTGGACCACAAAGACCCTGCCTACGCAGCCTGCTCCTTCTGCGATATGAGACAGCAAAACTTGGCCAAGAGGCAGCTTTGCAGGACAAAGCACCACTCCGGTGTCCGTTTCTGATATCCCCCAGTTCGGAGGCAGCTCCCTGGATCCATCCACCAGGGGCTGCGTGTGATCCTTACTGCTCCCACAACACACACAGCAGAGAGCTGCTTTAGTGTGCCCACAAGGTCCAAGCGTGCATGAATTGTTTCAGGAGCTCATGCATTTCGGGAGCTCAACAACCCTCAAGGGCTGCATTACAGGCAGAGCAAATTGCTGCAATGATCATTGAATGCTTTGGGATGGAAGGGACCTTTAATGCCCATCCAGTCCATCCCTCTTGCAATGGGCAGGGACATCTACAACCGGATCAGGTCGCTCAGAGCCCCGTCCAGCCTGGCCTTGAATGTCTCCAAGGATGGGGCATCTACCACCTCTCTGGGCAACCTGTTCCAGTGTTTCACTACCCTCATTGTAAAAAATTTCTTCCTTATATCTAGTCTAAATCTACCCTCTTTTAGTTTAAAAGCATTACCCCTTGTCCTATCGCTATTGGCCCTGCTAAAAAGTCTGTCCCCATCTTTCTTATAAGACCCCTTTAAGTACTGAAAGGCTGCAATAAGGTCTCCCCACAGCCTCTTCTCCAGGCTGAACAACCCCAGGTCTCTCAGCCTCCCCTCACAGAGAGGTGATCAGTCCCTCTGATCATTTTTGTGGCCCTCCTCTGGCCCTGCTCCAAGAGGTCCATGTCCTTCCTGCGCTGAGGACCCCAGAGCTGGACACAGTGCTCCAGGGGGGGTCACACCAGAGCGCAGCAGAGGGGCAGGATCCCCTCCCTCGCCCCGCTGCCCACGCTGCTTTTGGTGCAGCCCAGGATACGGTTGGCTTTCTGGGCTGCGAGAGCACATTGCCAGCTCATGCTCAGTTTTTCATCCACCAGTACCCCCAAATCCTTCTCAGCAGGGCTGCTCTCAATCCCTTCATCCCCCAACCTGTATTGATACCAGGGGTTGCCCCGACCCAGGTGCAGGACCCTGCGCTTGGCCTTGTTGAACCTCCTGAGGTTCACATGGGCCCACTTCTCGAGCTTGTCCCGGTCCCTCTGGATGTCTCCCATCCCTCAGGCACATCAGCCGTTCCACTCAGCTTGGTGTCGTCTGCAAACTTGCTGAGGGGGTGCTTGATCC